AGCTAGCTAAAAACAAGCCTAAGCTTGTTTTATAACTAATAATAAGTCTCTATGTGGTTGAGAGCTGGCAGTCCAGTCGAAAAACTCTACCTACAAGAAATGGAATAAATTGTCACTCAAAATAATTTACAGTGCATTCAAGATGGCTCAGTGGATGCTTACTACCAAGCCCGATTACCCAACTTTGCCTATGGGACCCACATGGTAGAAGAAGAGAACTGAATCCCGGCTTTTCTGAAACGCTCATGCAGTAAATGACTACTCCTGTCCCCTCCTCAAATAGTCTTCTCTCGAATGACATCAGAATTGCTAACCCACCTCTAGCCAGGCTCAAGAAGAGGCTCTGCCAACTGTGCTCACTCTATGCCATGTCCCTTTTCAGTAGCAGTGGCTGGGCCTCAGCATCTCTCACCCAAGCTCCCCAGGACCCTGGAGAATAACCACATTATGATGGGACCTGAGAAAGTACTGCTAGAGAGAAAGTTTACACAAAGACCTTCTGTAGGTCTGACAGGAAAACTACTGTGGAAGAAATTTGTTCACCTGCTTCATCCAAGTGTTTCAAAGTTTGGATACAAATAATTAGTTTTTCCAGGTGTTGGTGGTGCACACCTTTAATCCCAGCACTTGGGAAGCAGAGGCAGGTGGATCTCAGTGAGTTTGAAGCCAGCCTAGTCTACAAAGTGAGTTCCAAGACAACTAGCTAGGACTGTTACATAGAGAAACCCTGTCTCAAAACAAAACAAAACCCAAAAGGATTAGTTTCTAATTCTAGGTGAGATTTGGTGTGAACTGTTTGATGCCATGTTAGCCATTGTCTTCTAATACCCCTGCAGCAGATGTGCTCACCAGCACCAGGGAGGAGTGTTGGAACATGGTTCATGAACCAAGCTGTGGGAGGAGATTTCTGAGACCTTGTGAGAAAACTCCAGGTAAACAAGAGTCTTGTAATCTCTGTTCCTCCATAGCATAAGTTGTTCTTGGAATGTGCTTTCATGTCCTCCCAGGTGCATGGGGAGGAGTGATTTCACTTCAGATTATCCCTTACAACTGCCTATTGTTATTTGTTTATATGCCTCTTTAGAGAAACATGTTTTTGCCATGCGTGGCTTGTCCTTGTGATTGGTTCTACACTTTCCTCCACTGACTCTTGTTAACCCTTAGAGTATAAGTGGTCTGAAGCTCTGAATAGAGTTGGCTGGCTATTGCATGACCCAAAAGGTCCCCCTCATTTTCAGGCACCCTCTCCCAGGTTCATGCTGCCAACTAGAGCAGTAAACAGAGGAGAACCAGCATTTTATAATGGCTTCTTTCCAAGGACATTCAAGATAAAATAATCCACCAAGATCCTGCTCATTCATGTCCCTTTGTGTCCTGTCCTAACTGTACCTGCTGGGTAGCCATTCAGATATGCTGAGCAAAAAATAAAAAAAATAAAAAAATAAAAGATTTTTAAAAAATTGCATTCGAGGAATATCTGTGGATAGTGCTTACATGCATTCCCCGGTGGGTGTTTTCCTTAAACGACAAGAAGACTTTGACATGTGACGTCACAATGAGCCCATTCCCTTCCACTCCAGTGTTGCAAGATTTTGCCACAACTGTGACTGTGTCAGTGACTCCTGTGGAAGCTCTCAGCAGCTTGAGATGCACTTACCCTCTGAGAAAGTCTGAAACTACATGAGATGCTCTTACCCTCTGAGAAAGTCTGAAATTACATACCATATGCTGAACCTTAATGAAGTCATGTTTAGGAGATTAATGAGTAATTCACAAGGACAGTGTACTTTATTCCTCCTTCCAAATAACACCCACACACCCACACCCCTCCCACCCCACAAGAGCAGAACCACTTGGAATGAAAGTGGCACCAGGCAAAGCCACTGATCAGGGGACTATTTAGATGGTCTGGGTGAAAAAGTGACTGTGTTCAGATGGGTCAGTTTTGCCAGCAGGGATTCTGGTGAGCCCACCAGTGAGAGTTGGTTTCCTTCTGGAAGAGCCTCCTGGAGTTCACTGAGGGCGCCTTGTGTGTTTATCTTCTGCCTCACTAGGGTTGTTTATGTTGGCCAGTTGTTCAGTTGATCCCGGGGGCAAAGGCTCCTTCGTCTCAGGCCGCCCAGCTTTCCCTTCAAGCTGTATGGGACAAACAAGATGGGAAGAATCAGCCCTGGGGAAGGTTGGCTGGACACTTCTCGTCCTGGTTCTCTGGAGCAATAGAGTGTTAGGTTTCAAGGTGTAGCCATCAGCAGTCTCTAGAGGACGCTCAGCTGAAGGACTGGGACTCTGTCAGACCACCCAGGTTATGGGCTGCCTTGATTTCTCAGCTGTGAAGTGAGTGGGCCAGATTCGCTCTAAGGTCCACACATTTCTTACAGAGACTTACATGCCTGTGTGGTTACATTTTAGAAGAAAGCTTTACTCTCAGTGCTTTTCCAATGGATGTTCTGGAGACTATGTTCCTC